CTATTTGTTGCTTCCTGTGTTGGTGTGTAAATAATAAATAAAAAGGATGATCAGCAAAATGGTAATTATTTTTTCAGACATGTAGCAAAAAGACTGGCACTCACATTGGGATTTTTTTCTTCATCATATTTGTCAGCATGATAGGCACTATAACCCTCTTCTGCTGAGCCCCAGCAGATGTTAGCAATGCTGCCTCGGACAGAGAGGTAGGGGCTGCTTTGGAAATCACTATGGTTGCAGAAACTGTATACATTGGTTGTCCTGTCCAAAGTGGGTAGCCCTAGCTGTGAGGTCTGTCCTTCCTCTTGTACCCGTTCTCCTACTCCTGGGCTTTCTGAAAATGTTTGGCTAAGCTCCATACCCTGAGGCTGTCCACTCGCAGAGGAGCCATTATTGCTCTGTTTTAAGATGCTGAGCATCTGGGCAAAGACATTGAACATGCGGAATTCATGGTCCCGTTCCAGTTCAAAACGACGCTGCTCCAGCTGCATCCGCCGCTCCTCCAGCTCCAGGTCACGCTGGAGTCGACGTTCTTCCATTTGCAAAAAGCGTTCCTCCATTTCCCTCTGTGCAGTTAGGGTCTTCAGCAAGAGTGCATCCAGGGGATCCCTCAGCCGCTGGGCTTTCCGCTTCTTCCTCAAGTAGTGCAAAGTGGAAAAACCAGGTCGTGGCCCCAGACTTTGGATCCGGGACGAAGATGCCATATTGGGCTCACTGAAACCTAAAAGTAGACAGACAAAAGAAACCATATATAGCAATTACTACAGCAGTACTGCATCTGAAGAAGTGAACTTATATCCATGAAAGCTCTCCCCCCCCCCCCCACACTCCCTTCTTACTTTTTATGCTACGGATAATATGTGTACCTCCCAAATGGAAAACTTTTTTGCCAGTTTGCAAAATGGCAGCCCTCTCACTCATAATTCGGTTAAAGAGGCTGACTACAGGGGCTCAGCCATGAAGGTGCTTCACTCAAAGATATTACAGCGCCAGCCTTCAGTCATAGTTATGAAAAATTCAAAATAATGGGTTATGTTGTATCTTATTCTTTTTCAATTGAGAATTCAAAAGTGACTTTAAGATACTTCCCCCGCCTTCACTTTGCAGGTAAAAATGTAAGTGGAATCTATTGGAAGTTTGAAGAATTTCTACATAGTTCTTTATAACAACTATTTATGTTTAAATAGTTTAAACATATTTATCAAAACAATATTTATTCCACAGATTATAAAAAAGGGTATATTGTTTTGATAAAAATTGCTATGTTCCTGATTTGAATATAAAATGAAACCATGCTACATTGTGTAAAAACTGGACATTTTAATTTTAACTTGACCAAATTTAAGTTGACCTCAAGACCAAATGCTGGCCGCCAGGTGATGGAATGACCATAGCAACTATGAATGAAATAATGGCATGCAATAGTTGCAGACTTCACCAATGAAGGGGCTACTGTACCAAAGAAATCACAGATCTTTTAGATAAGGCATTAATTATCTTGCTTATTTCAAGCAGTGACATTTAACCTAAAATTCAGTTTTAGATAGTCTCTTGTTTTACCTATCATTAAAAATAAAATTAAAAACCTAATCTGAAACATCTTTTCAAGCTAAAGAACTCCATACCTTCAACTGTTCCAATTTGGCAGGGGCTGTCCTGATTAACCCTCTATCCTTCCACTTTTTCAGCAGTTTTTCAATTTCCCAGTTTCTCCCTCCCTCTTTTCAGTCAGTTTACTTCTCTTGCTGCAGACCGAGTTCAAAGTGCAAAAGTATTGTAGTTTCCCCAAAAAGTAGTTAAGTCAACAGGGCGGAGAGGCAAAAGCAAGACTGCAAACTGCAGCAGCCTTTCATAGCTTGTGTGTCCTTCCTCATTACTAACTTTTGGCATCATCTCAACATGTCATCTCAACATGTTTCCGTTTTCATATATGAATATTGGAAGGTATGAAATTGCCATGTGAAACTACTAAGAATCTACTTCCACTAGGTGGTGACCAACATGCATAGATGGTTGCCAGATTATGACCTGAAAATTTCCTCTCTCACTACTGTTACATCTGCTGTCTATGTTTCCTCTCTCACTACTGTTACATCTGCTGTCTATGTTTCACATGGTGCTTTTTACTACACCTCCTCCCAGATGCTAATATGAGCACAATTCCAGTTGTACAGGACAGTAGGAAAGGGAACAGACAAGAGGAATAATGGGACTTCCATTTCAATACAGGAACTGTCAGACCGCAACTTGCTAAGTACACCTGCCAAGTAAACTTAGAGTGCACTTTTCCAGTCTTTATCTGCAGAATAGAACCAATAGGTTCAGAGATTTTCCTCTAGGGCTGAGCCCTGAGAAATCCTGGCTCATAGTCTAGCAGCCTTTGCAGACTGCCAGAAATAGTGCAAATTGAGTCCACTTTAAGGGTTAGGGTTAGTGCTAGGGAATCATGGGAATTGGTTTTTTCCTCTGAGACATTGAGCCTTCTCTGTCAGAGAGCTCTGGCGCCACAATAAAATACAGTTCCCATGATTCCCTAACCCTAACCCTTATTGTGGCCTCAATTTGCACTATTTCTGGCAGTCTGCAAAGGCCCTTAGATATATCCTATCATCTGCCACTGGTAACATCTCTGTCCAACAGGCCTCCAACCAGCACAATATATTTTAACCATCTATTTTAGGAGGGGGAACTCTGCAGCCCTCCAAAGGTTCAACTGCTATTTCTATCACTTCTCACCACTAAGTAGTAGGGTGGCTGAGAGTTGAAATTCAGCATCTGGAGAACTGCAAAATCTCCATCCCTGGCTCACTTCCCTAAACTGTCATGAAGGCTATAGTCCAGAAAAGTTCAGCTCAGAACAAAAGCAACTCTTTAGTTGCTTTTGGTACCCCTGTCAAACAGGACTACTATTCCATTGGAAAATGCAGTTAATACTAGTAAGTTCTTTGCTAAAAAAAAAAAACCCTGTTAATTACTGGCTGTAAGAAAATGGGGGCCAAATATAGATCTACTCCAGGCAAAATGATGGTGTGTGTGAGAAACAATTTGTGGCACCAATATACCTTATAGTGATGTTAGACTAATATTCTCCTTTCCCCTCACTTGTGTAACAGAGATATGTCAATAAGGTGTGTAAACCTTGGCCTACTCAAGATCTGTGAAGAGGCTCTGCTAAGCTTGGGAAAGTGACTTTTGGGGACTATAGTTCCCAGAACCTTGGTCAGTGGCCATGCTGGCTAGGGAATTCTGGGCACTGTTGTCCCCCAAAGAGACTTTCCCGAGTAACAGCTAATTGTTATGAGGGGATGAGGCAGTCCTCCCTGAAAGCGAGAGGGGCTCTGTGACTTTGGGGGACTACACCTCCCAGAACCCCATCAGTAGCCATGCTGTCTAGGGCATTCTGGGCACTGAAGCCCCAGAAGTGACTTTTCCAAGCTCTAGCTAATTGGTATGTGGTGATGAGAGCAATCCTCCCTGAAAGCAAAAGAGACTCTACTAAGTTTGGGAAAGTGACTTTGGGGTACTACCGCTCCCAGAACCCGTCAGTGGCCATGCTGGCTAGGGAATTCTGGGAGCTGTAGTCCTCAAAAGTCAAGGGACTTTCCCAAGCTAATTGGCATGAGGAGATAATTCAATCATACCTCAAGATGAGAGAGCCTCTCTGCTAAGCTTGGGGCAGTGACTTTAGGTGACAATCTCTGGAAGAACCTTGGCCAGTGGCTGTGATGGCTGGGGAATTCTGGAAGTTGTAGTCCTCAGAAGTGCCCTTCCCAAATGCTGACTAGCATGAGAAAGAGGCAATCCTACCCAAAGGCGTGAGCCTCTGCTAACCTTGGGAAAGTGACTTTGGGGGACTACATCTCCCAGAAATCTGGTCAGTAGCCACACTGGCTAGGGAATTCTGGGACCTATAGTCCCCAAAAGGCAAGGGACTAGAGGAGGCAATCATACCTGAAGGTGAGAGAGCCACTGCTTAGTTTTGGAAAGCTACTTGTAGGGCCTGTACAGACTGCCAGAAATAATCCAGCTTGAGGCCACTTTACCTGTCCTGGCTCAGTGCTAGGGAATCATGGGAACTGTAGTTTATTGTGGCACCAGAGCTCTCTGACAGAGAAGGCTCAATGTCTCAGAAAAAACGACAATTCCCATGATTCCCTAGCACTGAGGCAGGGCAGTTAAAGTAGCCTCAAGCTGGATTATTTCTGGCAGTCTGCAGAGGCCCTACATCTCCCAACTGTCTAGGCCAGGGGTAGGCAACCTTTCCCCTTTAAGGGCTGAAGGA